ACTGGGGTTTGCCAAGATTATTTAAGAACAAGAAACCTTTTACAAGCAGTTTCGTGTTAATCTGAACAAACCAACTCAATTCATCATTGACATTTAAGCAATAGAGAAAAGTGGGATACTACATCTTTGATTATTCCCCAAATACATAGGTTGTTTTTTTTTTTTAATTTTTTCTTAAGTCTGTGCCACCTTCATACCGATATTTAGCACCATGTAATGGGATATTCACCATTTAGCTTCTGGGGAATGTACAGTATGTTATTTACTCTGCGCTAGAATAAAGGGTCCAATTGCAATAAAAGTTTTATTCTTGCTTTCTGCAGTAGAACGTCAACGCTGGAAGAGCAACAGCATGCTTTTGACCATGAAGCTGTAGCTTATTTACAAACAAAAGAATGCCTCCCTCCCTCTTTTCCCAGTTGCTTATTCACGATGAGGATTTGATTAATAGTACTACAGGTTAGGTTTCCTCTACACTGGAAACTAGGGTAGGTTTTAATCACTTCGCCTTAATCGGAGTTGGAGCAGTGCATACAAAACAAGCACAGCCTGGCATTTCAGTATGAGTTCCACTACTTTCACCATCTCTGTAGGTTGTATGAGAAGACTGGTGCTGAAAGATGTAACTATATACACAAGCATATATAATCATGTTTTCTTAGAAAATGTAAAATAACAAATTTATTGAGGAGGTGGGTAATAGGCCAACAACCTGTCATATACCAGTATGTCTGTTACCAACCCACATCTACCAAGAAAGAAATGTATTTTCTTAACAAAGGTATTGGGATAGAGGCTGGAGTGATGAGACTTTTTTTACTATTATTTTTTTGTAACAGACATACTGAAGATAAACAGCTTTGGTTGTCAGTCAAAAGGCAGTTTGAACTCAGATTAATTTTATGGATTTGTTTTTTTTGTTATCACAATTTAATTATAAAAAATACTTCTTAATTGCAAGCTTATGCCCATTGCTCTCTGGTAGTGAAATGATATTTGGTGTTTCATTGTTCTCGCACAGCAATTCATAGCTATAGCCTACAGACTAGTGTATATGCACAGTATTTTCAGCAGTGGTCTGTGTTATTCCTGTAGCAGCACTGCAGGCTTTTGACACTGTGAGGGGCTAGATACACTGCAAATTCATAGGGTACAAACAATTACAGAGGTTAATTCCATTATACTGTCTTGTGGCAGATATTTTCTTTTGTGGCTGTGCAGAATGACTGCCAATATTGTTCTCTATGCCCGTTGGTAGCTGGGGAAAGGACAGAGGACCATTTTAGTTCATACATTTTATTACAAGAACCCAAACTGATAACCAAATGCTGATGGAGCTCTTTCTTCCTCTGCTCCTGGTGAGGCAGAGGCCCCTATACTTGGCAGCTCATACTTTGATTACTCGAGGTCCCCTTTTGTTATTGAGCTGGATGCTCTGATCCTAGCAATGCTTCTGCTATCTACAAGCAGGAAAGATCCTCCTACTCCTCTCTTTCCCCATAGCACTGACCATGCTACCTCTGTCGGGGAAAAAAAAAACCCCCAAACTTTAGTCCTGCTTCAACCTTACAGGTATTAAAAGATGTAGTCTTCAGCCATGAGTAATATCCATGCCTGAGCTGTTCGCATTAATTAAATGTGCACTGTTGCCACAGGACCTCTGGTTTAAGTTAATATCAACTGTATTTGGCTTTTCTTTTGTCAAAAGCTTGTGAGTACATGTGAAAGAGCAAGAGATAGTATAGGGAAGAAAAGCAGTTGCTGTCACTTGGTGCTTTCTTTTACATATTCTCCCCAAGGCTTGAGTTTTTTCAAAGCACATACAAATACACTGAGGAGCACACAGTAAAACATCAAAGATAAGTCACTGCTTGAGGTGAGAACAAGTTCTTATGCCAGGTCCAGCTCTCCATGATGACAGTCATGACTGGCACCCAAAGGCCAGTGGCATGCATCAGTCTCTGCATTGAGGTTTTCCTGAAATATTTCTGTGGTTCAGACAACCATCTGAAAACATCTCAAGCCACAGGAAAGTGGATAAAAGATTCAAGTTTTGCTGCATGTTATGTCTGTGTTAAGAAAAGCTAACAGGTTGATTCCCCCCACAGGCAAGGCCAAAGCTCTGGAGCCAGCTGCTGGAAATCTGTGTGGGCTATGAAAGGTCTCCAGAAGAACATACACCATCTGGAACAGCTATGTTTCTGCAACATCCCAAGCAGCTCCTGCTGGTTTTCAGGGATGAGTAGCAGCTTTGTTGTGGCTGTTACTTTCAGCAAAATGCCAAGGAGCTTTAAAATGTGATAGAACCATTGTTCTGAGTGAAACCTGATGCACCTTTCTTCATGTGCAGAAGACAGGTCAGGATATGCACAGGTGGGCAAAGACACATCTCAAACTTGTTGGAACAATACAGCCTGTGCAAATAACTGTGAATGCCTACAGACATATGTGAGGAATGTATGGCGTGACTAGCATTGGGAAGGGAAGGCAGGACACTACTTATATTAGATCTGGTCTACGTCAGTCAGTTGTAGGTGTAGCAGGTCTGCAGTATTTGACTTTTCTGCAAGACTCAAATTTTTGTCTATTGTGTGCACAGCAGAAGACTTATGATCCCCTCAGCTGTTGCTTCTCTTTGTACATAACGCAGGCACTTAAAAAGACTTTTAGGATATGAGTTAAAATTCTTTCTTACTTTTTTTTTTAAATGAAGTTTGTTTCAAAATAATCCACAGTTTTGGTTTAGTTTTGTTTTTAGCCTTTCATATGAGAACACTGGAAGCTGGCTGATGACCTGATTATTTACTTAAGGGAATACAGTCTTTCTAAAGGAATGCCTGCAGTAACCTGCCTCACTCCTCAAGGTAGACACAGTCTCTGGATAGCCAAGTTAGCAAAGTATAATGCAGCTCACCTTCACCATATCCACTGCTACAGAAGCACTGCACATGAAATGTCTGGTTCCCAGCACCCGAACCCATAGCTCCCAGTTTCCCAGGCAGTGACTCCTTGCTAAAGTGCAATGCACAGCATGCACTGCCAGCTTTCTGGAGTTGGAAAACACAGAGCTAACAACCAGAACGGTTTCACTTTGAAAATATATTTTCAAGGCAAGAGCTTACAAAATTTGTGTCTTTGTAAACTGGATGCTTGGCCTAATTGAGTTCATTGATCAGAACTAATGTCTGACAGACACAGGGTTCTTCACTAGGCTGTGCCAGAACGCTGTCATTTTGGACATGTTTCTGGTTAGGTTCTGCTGCAGGCATCCTTTGGCAATTGCTTTAAAATAAACCTTTAGGTCATGCAGGGGAAGATTATTTCCTTGTACCTTTAGAAAGGCTTCTGAACTAGCTTGGAGACCTAAGATATAAATATACTGTCATCTTAACTTGCTCTTGCCTTCGCTGCCAAAAACAAGTATAATTTCTGAAGAATGCCACCTTTGTAAATACTCTGCTATTCTCAGCTCTCAAAAGAGCAACTGTGTCATTTTTTTTGTGATGTAGCATTACTTTTTCAGACAGCTAGCATGACACGAGCCTACAGAAATTGGATGCCACGTTGTTTCAAAAAACTAGCTGCTTGAAAGTCTGATAATCTTAAGGTGCTTATTCAGTGTGATCTGAATAGAAAGTATTCCAGTATTAGATATGACTTTGAAAATCAGATCGCATGATAAATTTGTTGCTGTTGCACTAAGGCCATCGTTGCACCAGCTACTTTCAAGAAGACTCTTTTCCTCTCCCTCCACAGGAATTCATACTTCACTAGGTGAAACAAGTATTTCCAACAGCCATACGCATTTGGAACATCCTTGGGTCTGTTTCTAAAATGCAATGTAGGACAAAATGTATTACCTTCACAGTGCATTATTGGTTTAACCCAGATATCAATGAAACTTTTCCTATTCTCAACAAAATCAAGCTTCAGACTATTTAATTCCCACTGAGAGGAGTGGCAGCAGAACTGGCCTGATGGGATTTTCTCCATATATGTCTTTACACTTCCTCTGCCAGTGGAAGTGATCAACTGCAGTGATTTAGCTGTAACGCAAGCATGAAGGACAGTATCAGGCTGTTTTTGAGCTACAGGGCGAAAAGTTTTCTGCAGACAAATCCAAGGGGGAAAAAGACCTATTCCTCAAAAGTAGTAGAGTTTCTAAACTTTACTTTGATCTTTTAAGAAGTCTCCTCTTCATTCTCAGAGTAAATACAGCAAAACAAATGTTCCAAGCATATGTGATAAATACAAGAACAGGGTGGTATAATGGACTGCAACCTTAACCACAGAGAGAAAAAAAATACCTCTCCGTAAGAAAGCAGCTTGTGAGTGAGTAGAGTTAACACAGGTACATGAATTCTATGTATGTCTTCAGTTACGGCTTGAAAGTATCAGTCCTCAGTAGCAATATAAGACAAGATCTGAAAACTGTTCAGTGTGTTCACTGGCCTAGTGTAACTGATTTTTTCCCCTCTGTTTTGTAAAAACGAAAATATGAAAAAATGTTTTCCAATAAGGTACTGTTTCACTGAATGAGAATGAAGGAGTAGCCTCCTTAGGAAGACCTCTTACTGGCTAATTTCCTTAGCTGGTTCTTCTCTGATGGCATCCTTTTGTTCCAAGGTTGTATGCTTTAAATTTGCCTCTTTTGAGGAAGAAGATGGGATTAACATGGCCTAGGTAGTACATGGGAAGACAGTGACTTTGGTGAATCCTTACTCTTGCACTTCAGACTCGAGATGAACGGTTCCAGCTTGACCTGTTCCTAAAGCTTCAGTTATGGCTTTAAAAATTGGCCTGGTCCTACAGAAGAAAGACCACCATGTATTAAAACATTAGTTAAAATTAAAAAGGTGAACATATAACAGTGCACAATAAATGCAGGCTGCTGTTGGAGGGAGTGGATTTTTCTGCTACTTTCAGACCCCGATGCCCATAGTTGCTGATTAGAGGAGATGGAGGTCCTTCTGGAAGAGGCTGGTTGCCGATGGATGACTTCAGTGCCTGAGGGTGCTGGATGCCCTGAAGTAGGAGAGGAACTTGTAGCAGAGGCTCACCACAAAGTACCAGATGTTTCGAGCCATCTGTGACCTTGCAATGAAGATGCGCCAAATGATCACAAGGAGGGTGGTGTTGAATGCGTATCGAATGTTCCTC